ATATAACTTGCTAAATTGGCAGATTAATTAAAGGTTCCTAATTATTTAGGTATTGACAGCCTCGGTGGTCTAGTGGTTTAGCACACCGCTTTACTATCCGATGGTCGTAGGTTCGATTCCTCGCACGGTACAAACATTTGTATTTCATGAGTATGATTGTTTGTATCGGTCTGGGTGTTTTCTATGTATAATATGTATGTACAAAAAAAAATGTATCCATGTATTTATATCAGTTGTCTAGTACCCATAACACAAGCTCTGCTTAGCTTGGGACTAGATGGCGCTGTGTGAATTGTCCTGAAATATTATTATTATTATTATTATACATTAGTTAGATAAATTTAATCATTGCGATTAATTTTTAAAGATTGGACTAACAAAATAGACAAGCTGTAAATTAGATGAGCGGTTGAAGGCAAAATATGTCCAGAGAACATATCTACGCGATAATATGGATCTAATAATCGGATACAGTATCGTATTATCTGAAAACGCTTTAACAGCTATCATAACAAAGGACTAATCACTTGGGCGACCGCCAACGGATGTTACCTTACAATTTTGTGTTCCACTCAACTTGTTGAGGAAATTTGTTGCCAATATAATGTCTGCGGAGCTATAACAACAACTCGTTTGCGAATAAATTACGTTTAACGATGCGGAGTTGAGTAAAACTAGTTTCAATTTTAGCTCGAAACGAAAGCAGTTGGTTAAAAACTTTATTTTCAACTGTCAAAAGCAGATCGTCGATTCAATGGTTTTTTTGTATATTATATGCGATGTTTTTAGTTGGTTTCTGCATCCGCTTATTGATATATTAGTCCATAACAATAACAATAGCTTTAACGACTATTTTACTTTAAGCTAAGAAATGCTTTATATTTTGTATTAAAAAATGTATTTTTTTAATTAGATAATATTAAAAAATTACTAAGAAATATAATGTGTATCTGAAAATGGATTTGGAATTTTTTTAATTAAATTGATAACGCCTCCCATTTCTATTTTCATTATATTATATTTTCTTGAAAGTATATATATATATATATATACAGTTATCCATTCCGTAGTATTCATTCATAAGGTGGAGTTTCTCCAATCCTTTTTTTATAAAGTAAGTTTTCTTAGAGAAGATGGTAAAGTTCTTTTTTAAATCTAAAAATAATAAGATGTTCAACGTAGAACCGTAGTTCTAAATGCACAAAAAAATGATGACGGTCTCATAAGTTAGGTAGCTCTTAAAACATATTACAAGCAAACGAACAAAGTTTCAAGTCATTTGCCTTCATGAAGCACTTCTGAAACTCTGTAATTAGCTTTTCAGTAAGTCTCTTATCACCGTTTCAGCATACTTCATAAAGGGCTTAATAAGCATTAGTTTTCTTTTATGAGATACAAAACAATTCGTAAATTGAGTTAATATTAGTTTGTATTTTCTAAAATCGACATGAAATATGCAACATCGTTAATTTATTGCAACAAATTCTTCATAGACTGCAGATTTGTATTTTCTAGAGTGATTACTTTAAATAACTTAAAAAAGATTTAATAATTCACATGTTTGTATTTTAAAGAATTTAATATAGGTATTTTTTTTCTTTTCCATGTCATTTACTATCAACTATGAAATAATATCTACAAAATCTCTGTAACAGTCATTATGTTTCTACTATTGTGGCTTTAAAGTTTTATCGTTTCATTTGTTGTTTAAATATCTCAGTTTCTGAAGTTTATTTGATAACATTTGTTTGTATATATATAAATGATACAAGTTTCACACTTAAATTCAAATTTAAATACAAAAATCATTTATTCATGTAGGACATTTTAGCCGCTTATGAACGTCAAGTTTTAAATTATATTTTTATTTTTTCCCTACTTATAGCACAATCACTAGCTAATGATGTTGATATATTAGCTTAAGCTGTATCAATAAATAAAATATATAATAAATTAATTTATTTTAATTATATAGTACATAGATATATGTAGATGATGTAGATAGATGATAAGCTTAGGAATAAGGTACGATGGGACTGGCGTTATCATATTATGATATATGTCTTAATTACTTTAAGAATAAAAAAAATCTAGTCATCATAAATACTTAATTGTGATTGTTCTCAATCCACTTGTATTTTGTGTATATGTACATAAGAGGCATATTAATTAATATAATTGATCAACTTCACAAATATTTCATTGTATTAACAAATAACAACGCAATAATAAAGCAATTCAAGTATCTATCCACGCTCACTTAATTGGCCAATCATATCGTCTCAATTGGCTAGGATTGTAGCTAAGAGGATTTCACATTACGAGTCAGACATAACAACATTATTATCTACATTCATTATTTATATAATAAATGTTTCATATATTACTTCTAATAATAATGATATGACAATTCACATAGTGCCATCTAGTATCACGCTAAGCGAAGCTTGTGTTATGGGTTCTAGACAACTGATATGAATATATAGATAATTTTTATTTTATAGATACATACAAATTATGTATAGAAAATACCTAGACCGACACAAGAATACATTCTCATGGTATAAACTTTTGTAGGATCATGAATACAAAAGTTTGTACTGTGAGAGAAATCGAACACGCGGACATCGGTATCGCCAAAGTAAGGCGGTATGCTTAACCGATAAACCACCGAGGCCATCAAAAATAGTCTACAAAAATAATGTAGAATTAATCCGATTGATACGATATTGAAATACAAGTATGAAATAATCTTCCAAATATTATGGAAAGATAATCTAGAATTAATCCGATTAATACTATAGTATTAATCAATACAATACAAGTATGAAATATCGTTCAAATATTGTAGAAAATTAATCTACAATGAATCCGATTAATATGGTATTGCAAAACAGGTTTGAAATAATGTTCCAAACATTCTAGAAAAATAATCTAGAATTATTCCGATTAAAACGATATTGCTATACAAGTATGAAACAATCTTCCAAATATTCTGGAAAGATAATCTAGAATTAATCCGATTAAGATGATGTTGCAATACAAGTATGAAATAATCTTCCAAATATTCTGGAAAGATAACCTACAATTAATCCGATTAATATGATATTGCAATACAAGTATAAAATAATGTTCAAATATTCTTGAAAGTTATCTACAATTAATCGGATTAATATGATATTGCAATACAAGTGTGAAAAACATACAAATGGGTATCGACGCAAATTGCTAAAATGTAAATGTGTACAATCTGACGCTTGGCAGCAATAATACGCAATTGCGAATGTAATTTCATTTGAAGAGACAAGATATTATGCGATACAGTTGTATGGCCTGCGGGGTTATTGTGTCAGCTGTATTCACGATTCGCTATTAATATTTACTCAATAAAACGGGTATTTACGCATTGCATTTGCATGGGACGGAAGTCACTCGCACTTATTAATAGCAACATAATTTATAGATTTATAGGTACATTTTATACAGCACTAAAGTAGTAATTTAATCAAATGTCGAGTATATTTACAGCTAAACAGATTATTTATCGACTTAAGTGATTTCAGTCGATTAACATGTTCTTGCTATAATCGATTATAGATAACTCACTTTAAACTCAAACTCACAATTATTTATTAACATCGAAACATTCGGCTTCTTGTGTACGGCATATGGTTTTATTAGCTGTGCCTGCAGTTTTATCCGTATAAAATTTGTACTCTTATTATTCTTTTGTATAAGCTATATTACTCTAAACTTCATTAAAATCGTTCAGTAGTTTTTACGTGAAAGAGATCCATCCATCCATCTATCCATCGATACTCATAAACTCATGTTTAGAATATTAGTAAGATCACTATCTCCACGGTCTATTATATATAATATCATACATCAGGTCTATCAGGTATATCAGGTCATGATTGTTTAAAGTGAGTTATCTTTGTGCAAAGCATTCATATTATTATTTTGCATGTGAAATAAGATAATATAAATCCATTAAGTAATGAATTGTACCGCAAAATGTCACCTAATTCGTTAAAATATGAGTTTTAATCGCCTGTATTCTATTATTCATCATTATTCAAATATAGAATACTTAAATAGTATTTTAAACTAAATTACTCGCCATTCGATTAAAATACGTTAGTGTAAGGTAATTAGAATTAACACTAAAGTTAGTCAGATTCTGTATTCTGTAATATATTAGCCACATTGCCAGCGATGTATTCTATCCGTTCAACCTCAATGAGAAACTTAAACCATCGCGGTTAATTCCACGAGTTTGATTACGTACTGGTAACTGGTGTTGATATTCAGTAGACATACAGCTGTAAATATAATTTATATTTACACATTTAAATTTATTATTTATTTTCATTTCAGCCCATACGCCTAATGGCAACAGTTATCACCAACTTTCTACTGTCGCCATCAAATTTCAATATTTTTAATCTGTTTTAAATTTAAACCTATTGCAATTTAGTTACATAATCAAATCTCTGATAAACTTACCACGATGGTCGAGATAATCACATCATTATCAGGTTTTTATTCTTCACAGTTTAGTACCTATGAAGGATGAAAGCCTGGTGACCGTAAATGATGAAATGGTACTTTTTTACGCAGATATTACGTAAAAAACCGTACGTAAATTATTATAATATATCGGGTGCTACCAAATTATGTGCTTTACATCGAATCAAAATATCCTTTATAAATATAAATATTCCATTACGTATATATTATTATGACGCAAAATTAACATGAACTAAAGCAGTTCATGTTAATTTTGCGTACATTAGTATTTGCATGCAGTGAAAAAAAAATGTATTTCTTTTCTATAATTTCTTTCGTAATTTGGTAGCACATATATTATTGTCACAGTATAAAAAATATAGTATACAAGCAGTATAATAACAGTACTATTCATATGGCACCACTGCCTACATGTCTCGTAATAAAACAAAACCTGTCCCATTCGCCCGGAAGCTGGGTCATCTCACCTATTATACATGAGTACGTCCGGCTTCCACAGTTTGTTTGGTGTGATCCGAAGGTCTTTAACACCTCCATACTCGGTGTCATTCCATCTGAGGTTGTAGTCATTCCATTCCTGTTACACATACGGTTATAATCATTGGTGTGAATGAGATGGAAGGTAGCATCAAGAATGTGCGCGTGTCTATGATATGTTTATGGCCGTCCCCAACTACTGAATTACGGGTCGTAATTTTGAAACTTCATATTGTCTATTGCCCTTAGAATATAGAGGGAATAATTTATTTACTCTGTAACAAAGAGTATAGTTATTCTAACATTTCGTGAAATAAAATATTATAAATGCAACAAACTATGAGAATAATATACCTAATTAGTTAATAACCTCAAACATGTAATAATCCTATTTTAGTTTATGAACTTTTTGGTCCTTTGTCGAAATAATATCCTAATCCATACATAATAATTAGACACTTATTATAATGATATTTAGAACACAGAGAAATCATAATCAACATAAGCATAATGTTTACCCGAATTCACTCAGGCGACGCCGCGACACACAGCTAGTCGTTCTATATTGAAAAGTGTGTTCTTTTGAAAATTGGCATACAATACATTTGTTGCTAGACTTCTACAGCTAACGCTCTTAAGAACTTGAACGAGAATAACAAAGGATACATAATGGACGGGGAAAACAATGTATATAGTTACGTACATATACTAAACTATAGTGTTTAGAAAACAAATAAGCGAACAACACTGTACGAAGTAACACAACAAGTTAAGGAGATAAACTTATATAGTATTAAGATAAGGAGGTTTATAGGATCCAAGTTTTGTACGATTAAGGACACACTACACTATACCGTAACACATTGTATAAGGGTAAAGACACACTGTACATTCTAACAACCTCTATATGTATTAACCCTAAAGAAGTCTTTCTAATAATCATAAAACTATTTCAGTGTAAGATATTTCTGTTGTATAAAACCCATACATATGTATTAACCTTAAAAAGCCTTTCAAAAGTAATGATCACAGAAGTGTTTTATTATAATCTTACATTTCTATTGTATGAAACCCATACATACATATTAACCTTAAAATAGCCTTTCAAAACGAATGATCATAGATATTTTATCGTAATCTGATATATCTATTGTATGAAACCCATACATACCTATTAACCCTAAGGAAACCTATCAAAACAAATAATCATAGAAGTGTTTTATCGTAATTTTATATTTCTATTGTATGAAACCCATGCATATCTATTAACCGTAACGAGGCCTATCAAAACTAATGATCACAGCAGTATTTTATCATAATCTAATATTTCTATTGTATGAAACACATACATATACATATATTAACCTTAAAAAATCCTTTCAAAACAAATGATCATAAGAGTATTTTATCGTAATCTGATATTTCTTTTGTATGAAACACATACATATACAAATATTAACCTTAAAAAAGCCTTTCAAAACGAATGATCATGAGAGTATTTTATCTTAATCTGATAATTCTATTGTATGAAACCCATACATATCTATTAACCCTAAGGAAGCCTATCAAACCTAATGATCATAGGAGTGTTTTATCGTTATCCTACATGACTATTTTACTATCAGGACTACAAGTGTTCGCTTTTCCTCGAGGAAACGCTTATAGCCCATTCATAGGCTTCATATCCTTCCTCCTTAGAATAAACACGCAGTGGGAATTTTACAGCGCGTTATTTTCTACGCAATTCCGTGTGTTTTTTTTATTAAAAGAAATATTATAGTACCTTGCGAGTACTTTCAATTTATATTGTTTTTGTATTTAAGTTATTATTAGTACGACAGTGCCTACTGGTACTGGTACCTACAATAAAGGAATATTATTTCTCACGGAAACACTTCTGACGCATTTACGTTGTTTAACCACAATTTTGACATAAAAGTATATTCCTTTTGAACAATCGAATTTTTATGTAGCATTAATTCAACTATTATGAAATTTATTGCAATATATCTTGAAGGTTATTTTGACGTATAATAGCTAATAGCATAATAGCTACTGTAGAAAACATTTGATATTCTCATAGCAATTCAATATACTTTTGACCAGTCAAGAAGTAACACATACTAATTTAACATAATTTCATATATAACAAGTGTATAATATAATATAATAAGTGTATTTTATGTACAATACATCGCAAAGTATTTATTTGTATGTATTCCTACAAATTCTCATCCACACGGCGGCACATGCTACCCGCCGTGAAACTTTTCACCAACTTTTACTTACGCATGATACTCTGGCATTTGCAATCTGTTATTTCATATTTACCTAATGTTTGTATTTAACCATAATTATTTTTTATACAATAGTTTGTATGTATGGAAAAATCGGCTACCTGATGGTAAATGGTAATCATCGTCGCAATTAAGACGTCTATAATAATTGTGACGCTGGTGGAATTTCTAATGCGTGTAAATTCCTGAAGAGTAAGGTGTTGCAGTGTAATTTGACTGGCAGACTCCAAATCTCACCCTTGTCACCGAAGAGAAGCTTTCAAAGCTCCTAACGGTAAAATTTGGTGACGCAGAAGTACCTACGTATACAATTTTGTACATTATACCTCTGGAATATTATTCATTACTGTGTCCCAATTACTTCAGTTATATATGTATCTAATTAAGTATGCATTTCAGTTTTTTTTAAGTATAAATATACTGAAATAAAATTAATACAATAAATACAAATAATTATTTCCGTTACATTTCATATATTCAATGAAACGTTAATTAATCTACTTATATTAAATATTATATGAATATTCTGATAATTATTCAGCGGACTTTCGACAATATGATTTAAATTATTATTAAAACCACTTAATCTGTAGTTGGAAACAACCAGACCAATATAATGAAGAGAAAATTCATTTATGATTTACTGGGGAAACAATATTGAAATTAAATATTAATTTATTCCATTACAAATATCTGATTCAACCTCCGCCAGTTTTCAGATTACAGAAGTTTCGCTGATATTTTACTGTTCTTTATTTATCGCAAATTATAATATTGCTCAGCCTTTTTTATTAATTTTTCTGAAACTACAATCTGCTATTTTTAATTTCTATATACAAAATAATGCATATTAAATTTGTAAATGCGAAAATACGCCAACCCGTCTGTTTGTACATTTTCAAAGCTACAAGTAACTGAATTTGACTAAATTTTACTTTAAAATTTAAACTTTTATTTCTTGAAATGTAGATAAAATCATCCTAGTAAATTATAAATGTACAATGTAAACGGTATGTTCAAAGATAATCTGACACAGTTATAGTTAAAATGGCTCGGAATCAAGTTAGTGTATAGGTAATCTGAAATTTCGTCCCTTTCCTGACGTAATGTTAATTATTATTCCACAATAAATATAAAATAGGTTTCAATTCATATACGAATTAAACTAATAAGTTATTCGTAACAGTAATCTAATATTGATTCATTGTAATTATTTATATCAATAAATATATTAAAATTAATAACTATATTTGAAAATTCTGTATTGCAATCGCGAAGTTGTCTCATATAGGAGTTTGTAACAACAAAAAAGCAATATTGTTCCCCATATAATCGAAAGGACACCATACTGACTATAGTAACATTCCAACAACCCATACACTGTTATATCCAATGACGTTATTTAGAGAGCACTAACACAAGCCCAACTTGTGTATAACAAACTTCGAACTCGTGTAATATTACAAAAGTTCTCAAGTTACTTGCAATATCTTGTATTTGTGAGGGCATAGAACTGAGTCGTGGTATGAACTGACAAAACTTAATAGCCAGTACGGTGATTGTGTCAGAACGTGATAGATATATATCCGTCTCGTTCTATTTAATGTTCTCTCTTAAAGGGTAATCAGAGCACCAATTAAGAGGAAATATGGGATGATATGTTAACAAACCCGAGTGTTCGGGACCTAAGTGTGTTTGAGATGCTTGTCTCTATAACCAGATGTCTTTATTATGGAAATAGTCGAATACAAACTAAATACTCAAAGTCTAATAATACCTTCCAGAGAGAACAAATGGTTTTAATTAAATTAATAACGATAAGTTGATAATAAAATACGGGTTGAGAAGGACTCAAACCCAAATATTTAACATGAACGTACAACGAATTACTGTCATAATATCTACTAATATTATCTAAGTTTGTACTATTTTATAGGATTAATGCTTTTGTATTTTGTTCATTCATCATAGACAATATACTTTGAAACTTTTATAGTTACTCTACTGCTGCTGTAGTAGTAAGTACTTCTAACAAAAATTTAATAGACACACTTATATATGAAATTAACTTAATAGCCGTCTATTGAAGCAACTTTTGAACAACAACTAACCTTGTACAAGAACTAAATGAAAAGAGTTTAATAATTTTAATTTAATGTAAAACGCTGTACATTCATGTAAACATGTGAAATTAATGTCTAAAATAAAAAAAGACACATTAAATACGAAACAACACTCACACAGTACAAATTATATCTAGAAAAATATAACACAAATATTGAAAACATTGTAGAGTTTATAGTTTTTTATAATATATAAATACGAAGAGAGTCAAAAGAAGCTTACATTTAAAGATTAAATAGAATATAAAAGCAGCTACACATGCAATAGTGAATAGTTGAGAAATACATGCCATAGAATTAAAGGAATCACCTAAATATTTCAATACAAATAAATATATACAATATGTAAAAAATATTATGACTAAAGCGTATCCAAAATTCTATTATAAAAACTCGTTGCAGGAAATATATACAAAAACCGTTCTTAATTTGCATGTTTCTTTCATAACCAGGGATAAAGGGGTCACTACCTTCGTAGACTAAGCTGCCGTATTGGTAAATGCTAAAATATATGATTTAAATCGCTCAATAAACATACCTTTGGTGCTGGAAGGGAAAAATACGAACTCAATCATTCCATATGCACACGATCCTTTAATACAAATGCAATTTATGTACAGCCAACATGAAAAGTATGTGCATCAAGCATCATCTTTTAATATTTCCATTTTATTTAATAAATAAATTAAAGATAACACAACTTTCGCTATTAATTAAAATAAAGGAAACCAAAATGAACATAATATCGGATTAATTTATTTTTAAATAAAATATTTACATTACGTTCCGTGTGCACTTGTGCACACAACGTTAATATAACATTACATCATAAAAATTGGTATCACCTAAAGGGTAGCATAGAAAACAATCGTCTAAAGAACATACAAAATATTTAAAATACTGTTTATAAATATAATTATTTTATAGGTCGTCTCAATGAGGTTTCATTTCAGGCAAACTAAGAGGAGCATATTCCCCGAGGCACATTCCCAAACCCGATCCTATAACTTCCCCTCGATAGAACATTCCATGGCCATGCATAGTATAAAAAACCACAATTCTCCTGTAGCCAAACAAAATAAAATTACAGCGGGTACCCAGGATGTGCATAATTGATTTACAGTGGACATTAAATACCTCAGCTATTATTGTGCATATCAAATCATTTACATACATGTCCATCCAATATGTTACTTTCAATTGACGAACCTAATACGGAACCCTCTTTGACAGATACGTTACACGTTTACTTATTGTTAGTTTAGTAGCCATTTTCAAATTTGGCTTCGACTTCAATTGTTTTATAGTGTATATTAAAAATGTGTCAGTTAGTGTCAACCATTAGTACATATTGTTAATTGCATTGCGGCGTATACGGCAGTTAACCACGAGTACAGTTTCATATTCAATTTCCGTTTCTCCATTACATAAATTTAACTATCAATATTTAATTTTACTGCGTACTCACCTGAAGTACCAACATCGATTAAGTTTATTAATGATTCATTAAAACTAGACTTAATAGACCAGCCAAAAGATAAAGTGAAAGGATGTAATTAATGTATGACAATTAATGATGAGATGAATGATAAAGGCTACTAACTAGTCTAGCATGAGCTGAAGATCAGCAATGAGGATGTTCAGGAAGATCCACTAAACAAATCTCATACAATAATAGCGGAGACATTGCAAAACTGCCGCATATTCCACAATGCTATGCAATTTTCAAAAATAACAGTCAAAGAGAAATATTATAGAAGTAACGCAACAACAGAGTAAAATAAATGAAGGAATCAGTCACGAATCGAATCCAAATCAAAGTAGAAAGAAACAGAGTAAACGAAACAAAACATTAGAAGTTTTATTAAGTGTTAATTTAGGTTCGTCGTTTAAACACACTTACCAATGACAGCCATATATTGGTTATAAGTAGTTGATTCTTCTCGTCCTATTGGGTTAGATGATGTCAACAAAAACAGAAAGAAAGGGCGCAGTCAGTATAATAGTCTAGACAACTCTGAACCACGCGGTCCGGACACACAATACTGGGGCTGGGGGCGACGCGCGACCGTTCTCTCATGCGATAAAGACGTTCGCGTGTCGCCCTACACACAATCTAATATATAGATATTATGCGAAACGTGTACAACAATTTAACACCGACTCTCCATGCGACAATTCTGCCGCGATGGTAGCGCCCTCTGGCCGCGCCCGCCACCTGCAACCGTTACCTTCAAATTGTGCTCAGTAAAGTGGCAAAGCGTTACATTTATATATACGGTGCGTTCCAAGAAAACTAGTGCTGGTGGGTGAGGTAAATATTTGAGAGTATGATAGCACGGTAGCAGTTAATAGCCGTACTGTCCCCGTGGGGAATCAAGTTCGCAGACAGTTCGGGGGCGGGACGGCGAAGGCGCCAGGCTCGGCTCCTACCACTTACCAAATTGAGCCAGACGTTCGTGGTCAGGATTTGATTTTTCTCATCCTTATTTTGATAAATGAACGCACGGCGACGCAAGAAAGGAACGAAAAAAGATAATGAAAATCAGAACGTGATGGCACTGTTTTCACTCCGTCAATAATTCCAGATATTGTACACTGTATATACATAGCGTATACTGTATCTTAGAAATGCTTCATTAAAAAAATATTAGGGATTCGAACCCCCATGTTCCCAATATAAAATTCATTTGTTATAAACTAACTAAGCAATTAATGTTGCATAAGAATTAACCCGTATGTTATTTTAGCCAACAAAAGCAATAATCAAATTTGAGAATCCCGTTGATATTCTGTAAATGTGGGAGGTTGTTCTGTGAAACCACAAAGTCATTTTAATCTCTTACTCCGATAATATTACTGACGAAGCAATAATCCGCTTTACACCGAAATGTCATTAAGGAGAAGTAATTAAAGAGATATTGTTGCGAATAACAAGAGCTTTGCAATGACTAATGTGTTTCACAGGACAAACAATACCGTTATGGATAACCTATATCTACTGTTAATTACAGTTTATTACGCAGACGAGCGAAGCATGACTCCTTTAGACGTAAATGTATTAAACCATCGAGTATAAACACATGGTATTATAATAACTAAACAAAAGATATTAAATATTAAGAATAAAGTAACACAACTGAAGACAATAGCATGATGATCAATGTAGTGTAACAGAATGTAATAAAATCCTATTAAAATATATACCTACATGATATTTTAAAAATTAAGGTCCTAACTACCTGAAGTATTATCAGTAAAGACCTCTTGAATTAAATCTAATGATGTATAAACATTGTAATTTATACTTCTAGAAATTGTCAAATATCCACATAATTTAATTAAAATATTCCACAATCATTCCTCCATTACTGTTTTAATTTATTGCCCCACAATAATAAACAATGCTCAAGTTAATGATTATAAATTATCTGTCTATACCAAAGTGCCACTGCACCAAATTATAAAGGTGACACCCTCCGATTGTTGTACAAAATCTGTTATTTAATAAAAAGTTGTTCTAAGTGAAACTAATGCGAGGGCGATAACTCTGTCCAATTTAATAAAGCCTTTCATTTGGAAGCAGGTTCTTAATTGCGCCGTAACGCGGAGAAATCGAGGCTTACTTTAAAATATGACCGTGGCAAATCTTAAATTAAATTTACTGGGACTTAAGTTATCCAATATTATGTTTAAAGTTTCAGGGCGCAATAGATGGTAGCAGAAGTGGAAGTTTGGAGATATTTATTTACATCGTTTATGATGTAGCATACTTACCTTTATACGAGTATGTTACTTTATGTTATTATGAATATAAAATGTTTAAAATAAATATAAAATATCATTAACTTACGAATATAATCATATGAAATTGAAATATATTAAAATATCTTCTCAGTAATTTAATTTATTTTATTTATATATTAATTACTGTACTTTGCAACTGTTACACGCAATTATTAAAGTCATATATGTTTACAATTTAAAATATATATTTTCACCTTTTTAACATACTTAGTGATATAAGATAATGTCAAGCAGTTAACGTAATTTGAAATCTTATGAACGCATCAATCGTTAGAATACTCCCTCATTACGGGTTATGAAATTCCGACAAAAAACAGGGAAGGAAGCGACCGCTATGAAATATGAAAAGAGTTCAATCCAATACCTTTCGTAACCCATTTCGTACAAGAAAACTCAGCAAACACTCAGAATTACGGTCCTCTGGCCGACTCCAGTGGGGTTTATTGATTTTAATTTAATTCTTTTCGGTCAAAACGGCAGTCCTATTTTCACGTACTCATTCAGAATTAAGCTGAGGTTTTTTTTCGGATTTATTGTCGTCCGCTGGACGCCTTTGTTGTAAAACATTTTAACAGTTTGTAAGCTGGAACTTCGTAGATGATTATCTCTCGGTTTATTCAACTGGTAAAGAGAAAAGTTTTGGATGCTGTCTTTCTTCTATACTTAATTAACACTGAAGATTAAGCAACTTAATAGTCTTAAGTAACACTGTATTATAATTTTATGTTGTTGTATTAATTAGACTTCAATAAAATATTTGTCAGTCATGTATTTGTTATAGGACATTTTCAATCATCTACCCTGTCTGTATTTTGAAACGTACCTTCTATTATGACGAGGGCCTCGGTTGTCAAGCGGTTTAGCATATCGCTTTACTTCCGATGACCACGGGTTCGATTTCTCGCACGTTATAAAGATTTGTATTCATAAGTATGATTGTTTGTATGAGGTGTTTGCTTTGGACATACATTATATATGTATTTACAAAAAAACATCTATGTATTTATATCGGTCGTCTAGTATATCTGTATCCATAACACAACCTTTGCTTAGCTTGGAACTAGATGATGCTGTGTGTCCGGGGCTATACTTCACTCAGATGATTTTTGTTTTATTTGACAATAAAATAACCTATTTTTAGACAAAGTAACTAGAGGTATAATTTACATTTAAAACCTCGAGACTGGATGACCTCTTACGGAAAATATTTCAAACTTAAATGTGACTTTACGTCGTGATTTTCGTGATTTCACTCTCGTCGACTGTCACCGACGTTGGGGAAGCAGGAAAGCCCGTTCAATTAGGCAAATGGATAATACTTAATCTTGCATCTCTTTCTAACAAGTATTGGTTCCTTCCTAGAAAGAGATGCAATTTATACGGCAGTGATGTTTGCATAAATTTTCCAAAATTGTTATTCTGATTGCCCAGGTTTTCAGCGAGTTTCATTTCTCGATTATTCACGGGCGTGAAAAATTGTGATTTCTTCAATCCATATTAATATAATAGGTATGTTTCTTTACTTTTTATTGATTCAAATATACTGTGCATGTCAATTGCATTTACCTAACGTGACCAGGCGTCCCATTTTAAACGTCCCTTTTTTATACAAACTGTCCCTTTTTTATAATTACGAGTCCCAAAAACCAAAATGAACTCTGAGACGTAAAATTGTCCCGTTTTTTGTAAGTTCGCGAAAATTTGCGTGGTCCAGCGGGCCGGTTGTGATGTTGATTATTGTTGATAATTGAAGTAAATAGGTACAAAAAAAACGTGCCAAGACTTTTAGTATTACTATATAATGATATCTTATCTGTGGTCTTACTTAAAAGCTTCACTAGCTAAAAGCAAACTTGTTTATCCGATATACTTAACTTTTAAGCTAACTTTTTCTGAGTAAAGCTTTAAAAAATTGTATTTTTCAGTGGCTGTCTATTAATTGATATAAATAAACCAATGTCCCGTTTTGAGTCAAAGAATAAATAGTCATGTTACGTTTACCACAATATGGACAGTTGACAATACCTCTTACTACCCCATCTGGGGCAACTATCGTCACAATATATTCATTGTATATTTCTTACTAGCTGCACTCGCGACTTCGTCCGCGTGGAATTTTACTTTATTTTTCTAAAATAAAAGTAAAATCGGTCCAGCCATTTCAGTGATTAGCCGGAACAAACAGACAGACAGACAGGCAAAAATTGTAAGAAATGTTATTTTGGTGTAGGTACCGTATTTATATTCATATGCATGTAGTAAAAAACGGTTATTTCAATATTACAAACAGACGCTCCAATTTTATTTATATGTAACGATTGATAAGTGACTCGTTATGGCAACTATCTCCGTCGTAATTGTTTTCATTACAGAACTGGATACAGTGATTTCGCTGGCAGTCTACTTTTAAAAAATGGCAGTTCGCCTCGCTCCCTAACACCCAGCGGCGCATCACTTCCGCTCTTGTGTTATTACTTCGTTTTTGCTTAGTATTTCTTTCAACTGTCTTTTATTTTTCTCGTCTCCTAAAAACTGTGGCGTGATGTTAAACAGCTTGTCACCTTCCTCAAGCTATGGAGTAACAGAGATGTTTCCCAAAATCTATTACTAGTAAAGGGCTATATATATATATATATATATATATATATCCTTACTAATATTATAAATGCGAAAGTAACTCTGTCTGTCTGTCTGTCTGTCTGTCTGTCTGTCTCGCTTTCACGCCAAAACTACTGAACTGATTTAAATGAAATTTGGTACCTATATAGTCTAGACGCCGAGGAAGGACATAGGCTACTTTTTAATGCGAAAAAAGGGTTGTAAGGGGTTGAAAATGGTAATGCAAGGTTATCTTTATGCGGTTGAATACACACTTATTATAATAATGGCTTAACTAAAAAATTAGATATTTTGGAAAGTCTACTTTATAATTGTGTTATTAAGTCTATTTTCAAAAATTTTTAACTTCTGAATTACACCAGTATTGTACTAGATATGCGACTTATTAACGCTCATATGTCATAAATAAACATATATGTCATTTGTATAAGCAGCGCGCATGCGTTGCGTTGCGCGCGCAACTGATTATTGTCAATCCGTTGTCTCCTTATGAATTTAAATGAATAAACGTTTGCTCTGCAA